TAGTCACCTACTCATTACCTACTATAGGTAAGTCTCCACACCTTATACACTCTACACAGTAATTTTTCAATTAGAGTGATTTTTTTTTATGAATACAAGTAAAATTATAGTATTATTAAATATTAATATAAATCCCGCTGGTATTCCATTTAGCGGAAGGCATTCATTATTTCAAAAAGTATTAACGTTTTTTAAAATATTTTTGTATATGGTTTCAAGTCATTACAAAATAACTTTTTTTAAATTATATTTTTGAATATTTTTAACCTTATAATTTTTTTAATTTTTTATTTTTGTGAAAAACAACATACAGTTTTAATATCATACTCGAAAGCAGAATATATTTCTGAGTATTTCGATGCATAAAAATTTGATTTCTACGAGTATTTTATAAGTTGTTTTTTGTTGTTTATTATTAGATTCTAGTGTAAACACTATATAAGATAGCTATTTTATAAGTTATAAGTATTTCAAGTTTCGATGATTGGAGTGGAGTGTTACTTAGTTACCTCGCAAAATATTGGTCGAATACTCCGCTTATCAAAGATTTAAATTCTTTTAAGTTATAAGTTATAACTTATAAGCCACGGACTATGATAGAGAGGACTAGAAACGAAATTATGGATGTGTAACGGGGAGCCGGAGATCCGGACCTCAATAATTGCCTCGGTAGCTTCTAGCCTTCCCTGCCCAAAAAGTACATAGCCACATGCACGCTATCTGCTTGGTAAAATATCAACTATTTGGATTTTGGTTTTTCATTGATTTTTATTATTTTCATTCTTATCTTCATTCAATTTTCCACCCAACCACTAGGTAGCGGTAGCCTTAAAAACAGCTATGTATTTAGGAAATCAGGAGAGACACTTCGGACCGGTTAAAAAATTGCTCGTTTCCAGTCCTCTCTATCTCTAGAGTCTCTAGAGTCTCTATCTATAGTCCGTCTCATAAATTATACTCGTCCTAAATTCGATTTTTATGTACCGAAATACTAAAAAAAATGTTCTGATTGAAAATTCTGCTTGGAATATTAAAATAAAACTGTATTTTGGTCTTTGGGCCGTGGCTAAAAATAAAATAAAATAAATAAATAGAAGTGTACCTATGTTGTTATTTAAAAAAGTAAAATAATTAATAAATAATAACAATGAAAAGATATATTTTTAAAAAAACGTTAATACTTTTTGAAATAATTAGTGTCACACATTAAATAGATTACCTGATATAATATATTATTATGCTGAGTTTCATACAATAATAATTGATTGATTTATTGGTTCAATAAAACCTAATGGACCAATCATGGGCCAATAAATCATGTTTAATGGACCATTATTAGTTTACCATTGATTAATTGTTTATTGATTGTTTAAGCAATAAGAAACCCGGCAATATTATACGAAAACACTGTCATGACTAATTAAAAAAACATGCTATATGTAAATGGTTTTTAAAACTCTTATAACTAATAAATTGGTGAAATTGTCTTAAGATTATAGCCATTAGATTAATTTTAAATATTTTTGAGATTGTATTGTATTATTACCTAGGTATGTCTTTATATAGTATTGTAGATTGACATGATTTTTATTAAAAAAAAAAAAATGTAATATAATTGCAGTTTTATAATATGTACCTACGCACAACATATTATTGTATTTGTATATTAATAATTAATCTATTGATTATGGTTTAAAATATAGTTGTGTAGCCGTGTAGGTAATAGGTATAAGTTGGATTTGAGACTTTAATTATCTTATGCTATATAGTTGTCATAGATAATATAATGTACATATTCTCAAACAACAGTAAAACTCGATTAAGACGCTCCCGCTTAAGACCCTTTCCCGCATAAGACGCTATTTTCCGTCGGTCCCTATATCATCTATATCCCTATTTCATTCCCGCATAAGACGCTTTCCCGCTTAAAACGCTTTAGAGAGCTAGTCCCTAAAGAGCGTCTTTAAGCGAGTTTTACTGAATATTAATTCTTGATGTTTGTTAAACAAGCTTAACGTAGTAATGTTTTGATCCAACTCCATCCACCCATAAGTTACGTTTAATATGCAAAGAATATACCTACTTAAGTAATATTATTTATGATGAATAACTACAGTGTGCTGCTTAAAGTCATGACATTAAATCATCAAATATAGTAAAAGATATTATACATGTTATTTTGCATTCAAATTCAAACTTTTAATTCGTGGTAAACTACCAAAGTTATAAATGCTGTTTAAAAAAATCTTTTTTCGTAAAACTAAAATCATCGCAGTACCTAATTTTAATTTAAAATCCATAAAAATAGTTTACATTTGATTTTTGAGGTTTTAAAATTATGTTTTCACTTTTCTTCTAAGTGACAGATATATTGGGTTCTTTTATAAAAGTATTTAACCAAATAAAATAACTTCAGCTCCTGATGTGACAATTATTTTAACAACCTAATAATATATTTTAATGTTATCCTTTCCTCGTTTATACGGTTTGGTTTTAGGTTTGGTCATTTTGGAGAATTAGTTTTTGGAATGCGATATTTTATCAAATTAATAATTTATTTAGAAGCATATAGCTACTGTTTATGTAATATGTCAGTCATCACTCATCAGATTTACTATTGTCTTCGTGTATTGGTGGTGGTGGGGGTGGGGAGATTCTATTATAGTCTTGTTTTGTATTTCAAAATGTTAGTTTTCCAAATCAACTAGGGTCTAGGTATATATCAGTTAAATAATAATAACTAAAATATAAAAATGTATTTTAACATTCAATATTCAAATTAAAAAAACATTTATTGTCACTTCGCTGCTCGTAGTTTGTATAATATAATATATCATAGGTACATTATTTATAATATCAGATGACGTGTGAATTTATTATACTATATACTGTTATACTATTTATGGGATATGGGTTATCGTTTTTTTTTTAATTATTTAATTATGACTATAATATTATAGCCTTTTACTCCATGCTTTATGTCGCAAGCTTATTATTTTTAGTGTTATTATTGTAAGCCATTGGGTAATTTGTCATGGGGTAGTGGGAGATCTATATATTGTCATGGTTCACCGCCCACCGTTGATTTGGAACGGAAACTGTGATTCTTAGTAAAAGCGTAGTTTTGGTTCTTATTATGATCATTCACTCGCAGTACTCTGTACGGAAACAGAGTCCAGTGTTTTAATGTTATCTAATTAATACAGCGTTTTTACCTACCTTTTGTACATCTATTATTAAAATTTATCTAAGATACGAATAAACATGGCTGGTTGTTTTGGGAGCCCAGTAAAAGTATCGAGTAAACTATTCAAACGACTTGGATCATCGGTTTCCTTTGGTGATTTTTCAGAATGTGGTAAATACTAAATGTTCGTTTAATACAAGTTTGGGGTTTGATATAACTAGATTATATTATATTAAATTTAAAAGTTGAATTTGATTGATTTAAATAAATTCTAAAACAAATAAACATTATAATAGGTACATTCATTATTTTTGTTAATTTGTGTTAAATGCGTACAGTTATTTATTTGTAAGTATATTATAAATTCTAATATTTATTTTAGATGATCATTAAACTCATATATTATACTGTAATACTGTATAGGTATGATATTTTAAATTGCGTGGATCTGTATTATATAATCAATAAAGATATAATTTTTTTTTATATTGGATTATAATATTATAATGATACAAGCTTGAGATTTATCCTTTTATCGTTTTGAATAATGAATCTTGAAAGATATATGTTAGAGATACCTTATTTTGAGTTTTTTTTTAATTACATCGAAAAAATAATTTTTTAATGATATTAAAATGTTCTGGTTGGTTTTTGGATTCGGGACCACTGGAGTCGGATCCGAATTGCTAGATATTTTACATTTTGACAATTGCCTACTCCGTATACTGACGACATTCTGTCAGGATTTGTTAGATAGTAAGTTTTACTTTATGCTATTTTCCCATAATAGATTGATAGATCTTCTTTTGCCATTATAAACCCGTGTGCTATTCTGTGCGTTCTCAGTCTATTCGGGTCTATTCAATATTGTTTTTCTCCTCTTTTGAATTTAATTAATTATCATATTTATATTATTTTTAATTTCTTTTACTATATTTTCACCATATATAAACATATATATTACCTACACATATATATTATTTATACCTAGTGGAAGTAAAAGTGTAAGTGTCATTATCATAACTAAGTTAACTTTTAAACATTTAGTTACATAAATGCTTTTTAAATATTTAAACTATTGGTTCAATACTTCATAACAACTAAAATCAATTAAACCAACAAAAAAATAAGTTTTTTTACCAAAATGTAATTTAGTTAGATAAGTATAAGTATACAATGTGTGTCGTGGAGAAGTGACCGACCAGCGTCATATGATAGTATACCTTTAGTTATGATAAAAAACCCATTGAAGCGGGGTTCTAACTTTTATTTATTTAGTTATGGCCAATTCAATTTTTTTTTGAACAAATCGAACCTACTGCATATTTGCTGATGTATCTTCAAAACTTTTCAACTATTTATCGTATTTTTTTTTATTTTAAACCTATTTCATTGTGCTATCAACTAACATACCAGAAATGTACAAATTATTTTTATTAAATTGAAAAATAGTAGGATTCTGTAGAATAATAAAATAAAAATAAAAACTGTAGTCAATACGACATTAATTGGAGTTATATGCGGTTTTCTTTTAAAAATGCTAATTTTTTACTTTTTTATTTTTTTAAATTTAAAAAAAATAATTTGTACATTTCTGGTATGATTGTGTGTGTTAGTTGATAGCACGATAAAATAACTATGAGATAAAAAAAATACGATAAAAGTTGAAATGTTTTGAAGATGCGTTATAAAATGTGAGGTAGGTACGGAATTGTTTAAAAAAAAGTTGAATTGCCCATAACTAAAAAAAATAAAAAAAGTTAACCCCCTCCCCTTTCAAGGTTTTTTTTTCTTCATAATTTAAGGTATACTATATCTATGACGCCGGCTGGTCACTTCTTCACGGGACACATTGTATATTACATAATACATAGGTACCTATGAATTAAAATGTATCAAATAAAATCCACTTTTAACCATAATAATTGGAGGTTTAAATTAATTGTTACCTTGGTTTCGATTTATTTTAGAATTATATTTGTTGCTCAATGTATTGTTGATAACTTTTTATATTATTTTACTAAACAATACCTATGAAGGACAGTGGGCGTTCAATTAAAATGTACTGTACCTACTCTATATCAAAAGAGAATAATCTGCAGTCACCCGATTAACGATTTTCGTCAGTGCTGCAACGCTGCGTATCTCCCATAAGCAACTCGATGTTAGGGTGATCACGTGGTTCACGACGTGCCAATTGCATAATTCTGCACGATGCGCAAAAAGTGATTGTTTTCTTTTGAGTCAGAATTTAAGTTAATTTTTTTTCAAAGTTAAGATTTGGTCAGATTTTGTTTGGTATTCCAAAATATACTAAAAAATGCAATTGTATATTATATCTTTAATCTTTACTGCCTGCGTACGTCTATACTCTATCCAGTATCCACTGTAAAACTGTTAGAAGTCATCTCAGTGCTTTTTAATATAACGCACCATGTCGTCATTTTAATTAAATTTGTTGTTTAGGCTTAAACTATATAAATTAGAATATATGTATAACTAATGCAATTATAGCAGATAATAAATTATTATTTACTGTTGTACAACTACATCGATTAAATTTGTAATTTATTATGCTATATTGACTGATAAGCATTATAGTTTTTATTAGTTCTGGTTATGAAATGTATGGTTTTGGCTATAGATATAGTAATTTTTTGTCTAAAAATATTATTATAACACTATATACTGGCAAGTTATTGAGGCAATCCAGCATTTAGATTTTAGACATAAAATGGCATTATTAAATTAATTTGTTCCTTGTGTCTATGTTGATAAGTTCAATAGTTATAGCTGATATACCTGATCTAATCGGGCTCAGTTATGAATGATGATTTGTTTTCAGAAAATGTGTGTACATTTTCCGCATATGCCATACGACAATAGCCTACGGCGACATATTATCAAATAAATATACCTTCCATTAGAGTTTTCCTATTATATTTAACATTACGTGCCTAGTGTGCACTGAGACTGAATAAACTTAATTTGGGCAGGTACCTACCTATTTATAATTATTATTCTTATCACTTTTGATTACCTTCTACCTGGCGACTGAAGTCCTTTTAATTTAAAAAATAAGTACATTTTTGTATGTGATTTCAACAAAAGTAGGTGAACATAGGTTTGTTTACGTATCTGCAGGCCAGCGGCCACTCTGGTAATGCCAACCTACGAATCGTAACTAACATTTAACCCAAAAATAATAATAATAATTTTTTTTTATTTACGACACATAGTTTTATGAACTAATTTCATATAAGAAACTTATTTTAATAAAAAATGCTCTTACTAGATCTTCGAAAAAGTCCTAAACATACATTTGGGTGAACATGACATAAGTTGTCTACCAGTAGTAGATTACTGCTATAATGTACCTACTGATTTATAGGTTTTTAAATTAAAATAAACATTTATTCAGATTATAATACATTATATTATATAGAATGCACTATAAGAAAACCTACTACATAATATTGCATATGAAAATATGTAACTGAACAAATACAAAATGATTAGGTGCATACATAATCATCTTTTTTAAACACACATTTATAAATGGATAAACATTCATTATCGGTGTGTTTACTGTAGTCTGTACTCTGTTTAGTGTAGTTCGAAAATAATTTAATTGTTTGTATTGTATCATGAAAAAGCTGACAACATGCTGACAATTTTATTCGTTTTAAACAATTGACAGCATTATATACGGCAATAAGTTAATATTTACTGTAATTATGTTATTTTTTGGCTTTTTACAAATAAAATAGTTTCATTGAAAAATTGTAACTTATGAATATCACAGTTTTCCAACTAAATATTGCTCAATTTTTGCAGGAATTATTATTAGTGATTGTTATTTGTTATTATTATTAATATACTCTATTATTCGCAACTAAAATAGTATACACGTTACCTACTGCTACACACTTGTAGATTTAATAGTTGTAAAATAATGAATTACTTACTATACATTTCTAAACATATTAAATGATTTCATAGTATTAATGCTAAATAATTAAAATGGAAGACCTAGTCCATCTAACAAATCACAAACATTTAAATAATTACTCCTCACATCGTTATTGTACAGGTATGTTGCTATATTGTCACATTGTATTAAGTATTCAAAATTAAATTGTTTTATTTTAATTTAACATAACATCAATAATATTAGGTATATTATTATTTATGGATTTTAAAAGTTCAAAACTTATTACAGATTTATTTTTTTCTAAAAATATAAGCGTACCAATATATTCATTAAAAAAATATATATTATTCTTATTGATTGTGTATTAATGTATTATAATTTATATAAAAATAAGATATAGGATATCTAAGATATAAAATATCGAAGATACTGCACAACCCTCGGTGTGGCGTGGTGGTTGCATTCAGTCACGAAACGTGTTCTGAGTGCAAGCACCGGCCGGCCGGTTCACTAGTTCCCGGATGGATGACCTCCCGGGTTTTTAGTGACAAAGTATCCTTGCCATACATACAATCACGTGTTCCAATCCAACGGTACCCCCTCCCCTACAAACAGCTATGGGCCATAATTAAAGGGCTTAAAAGTATATCATTTAGGTACCTACCTACTTCTATAGCTTTTTTAATAATCTGGTAAATGATAATACATCTGACTTTAAATAATTTGTGAAGTAAGACTTGAAACATAAAACAAATCGTGAACACTTTCATTAGGTAGTTATCATAAAATAATAATAATAATTTTTTATTTATTATTTTAATAATAAAAATAAGCAATGCATATCGTCCATGCATATTGGGTGGGGACCAGAGGCGCAACTAGCTCAATTGTTTTGGGGGGACTGAAGTCCCACATATTTTTATAAATTTTCAAAAATATAACAGAGGGGCTTCTTCATAAAAAATCATACTGTGTTAAATTCATTAAATTAACTTCATACAAATACTAACAAAAACTTGGTAGTTTATTAATAATGTTTTACATAACTTAATAACTAAAAACAATACAAAATAATTTATTTTAGCACAATCCTTCGGTCTTGTTCCGCAAATTTATTAACAATTACTTCAGAATCAATTTTGTTTGATAAATCCCTTTCAATGTTTAATAAAGCTAAAGAACTAAAACGATCTTCAGCCATGGTGGTTCTGAGCCAAGTCTTGACCCTTCTCATTGTACTAAAAGATCGCTCGCATGTAGACGAACTAACTGGGATTGTTATAGCAAGTTGTAAATGTTTATATAGATTTGGATACACTGATTGGTTTACAGTACTAATAATGTCAGGTAATTCAAAATATGTTATATCACAGTGTTGCTACTAACCAATACAAATAAAAACAAAGACGTATTTTTTTTATAAAAAAAATTGTTTTGTGAAAATACTTCAACTGAAGAACATTTTTCATACATTGTTTCGTAAATAAGTACTTACTATTTTTCAAGAACAAAAAAATTTTAAAAGTGCTGAAAATTTTTGGGGGGACTATTACAAATTTTGGGGGGGACTAAGTCCCCCCAAGCCCCCCCCTATTTGCGCCACTGGTGGGGACAAAGCTCCATCGGATTACTTTTTAAGAAAATGTATGGAGGGGTTTCAGCCCTCTCCTCATAAAACAACGTTTGGGATAGTTTTGTCACTGACGTGGTGTTTAGTGTATACCGTATAAGGAACCTATAAACCTATTGACCTATCCTCAAAACAAATAGACATAAATACATAATATTATATTATATTATAATATGTCTATGCTAAAACATGTACTCTCCAGTCTCCACGAATCAATAAATAAATAAATAATTATTATTATTAATTAAAAATGTTTTTAAATCCATTGATAAGGTAACTAAGTAACAGATGATTACATTGTAATTTGTAACGTTGTGTACTTGTGTGATAAATATTTGTCGACGGAACTACGGATGTCGCATTTCGGAACACAGATTTGTATTTTGTATACTTTGTATAATATTATTCAGTTTATATTGTAGTAATATTAGACATTAGTAGGTATATTAGTGAATTGTGATATTACTATTATGGAAGTATGACGTCTACGCGAACTGCGAAGGAATTATATCACTATAATAATAATGTAATTAGTATTCCAAGTTATTATAGAGACATATCACATATAGGTAGTATATTAGTACCTATTATGACATATTAAATAGGTACCATGAACCCAATCCTATAATAATTAGAATTTATTGAGGACTTCCGTATCTTATAACCTTTTCAAATTTTAATATAATATAATATCAAAATTAATACTGTATTTGATAATATCTATGTGACATACATGAAGACTAGACTACCTATCACTAGTCTTCATGGTGACATAACATAATATTATCAACTACTAATGATAAGCACTAAGCAGCTGAGGGCTCCCCACAGATATAGGTACCTATAAAAATATAGTATTTTTATATATCTGTGGGGATCCCACACTTTTCAATTGTTTTCATTAGTTCATAGTGTTCGTACCTAATTAGTTTGTCATGCTAGTGAGACAGTGAGTAGTTGGTACCTATATAGTATACCTATAGGTTTAGACTATAAACTAGGTGTCTAGGTTTATTATTATCTTTACTGTTTACAATTAGGTAATAATTCATTAACTAAGAAATAAGAAAATGTGTACTGTGTTATCCTTTATGTGTCATGTGTATAATTATTTAATTAAGTACAAAATGTTAGTGTATAGAACATTTGAATTGTTTTCCAACTACCTATTTCAACTTAATAATTATAACCACCGATCGTAATAAAATATTTTTTTTAACATTACCTGGTCTTTGTAAGCGTGCATAGGCACATATTGAACAACACGAGAAAACAACCTTTAGCCAAACAGTTAAAACGTTAAACTTAGTGTTCAATATTTAAATGGATGATTTAACTTTTGATTCTGTACCGTTTATAGTACAAGGTACACAATATTATGTTTATTTTATAAAAAAACAAAATTCATAGATGTATTTCTTCTTTCAGGTACAGCTGAACCGAACCAATTGTTAGAACGTCAGCCATGGCAAAAACTTGTATCGATATTCTTAGCTGAACTGTTTGGTACTGCGTTTTTAATGTTGTTTGGTTGTATGGGATTAGTTCCTAAATATCCGGGTGGAGAACTTGGTCAATACAGTGGTGCTATTGCATTTGCTGGTATTGTAGCTGTCACTATTTGTGTAAGTTTTTTACAAATATATATTTGTAATATTTTGTTTACTAATGATAATTTTCGACTTAATGCAGATTATTGGTCACATCAGTAATTGTCATATAAATCCGTGTGTTACATTGTGTGCGTTACTTCTTGGTAAATTACCAATATTAACAGCAATTATTTATTTCTTAGCCGAGTTTTTAGGAGCTATGATCGGTTATGGAGTTCTAGTGGTGAGAACCTAAATTGAATAATATAGGTAATCAAAAGTATGACTGCATTATTGAATTGAATTTTTATTATTTTTTAGGTTATTTCACCTTATAATATATTAAATTCATTAGAGTCTGGAGTTTGTGTAACAAGCCCAGTTATAGGTTTGACTGCATGGCAAGCCCTTTTAATTGAAGCTATAACAACAGGAGTTTTGATACTTTTAGTATGTTCTGTCTGGGATCCTAAAAGTGGTAATGGAGATTGTGGTTCTCTGAAATTTTTAGCTTTGATATTTGTGACATCAGTAGTTGTTGTAAGTATTTTAAGCTGTGATTATTAATTATTGTCAAAAGTATTTAGTTAACCACTTTTGGGTAAAAACGTGTTAAGTTATTTTAAATGTATTAAAATATTATACCATGCTTGTTTGTAGTGGTTAAATTGTTTTACAATTTAAGTGTTCATAATTTTACTAAAAATATTTGACAGTGACTAGCAACACGTTTTTCTCAGTGGTCTTTAATAATCAATAAAATGCTTGCATAACATTATAGTTACATAAAAATATATAAAATAATTCATTAATGATTACTTATTAAAGTAGGTATAATATAATTTTATGATTTTATATTTTGTATGTTATCAACATATTATTTTAACTTAAAAATGCACAATATAATCTTTAAGAATATCACTACTAAACATTTTGTAAATTGTCTTCTAATACTTATTCAAATAATTTTGATTGTCAGATACCATGAATTTTGTTTAATATCAATTTAATATTTAGTATTTTTTGTTTTACACCTAATTTGAAGGATATATAATAATTAGGAATTACAAATGAGTTTTATACCTAATTTGGTTTGTTGGATAAATAAAGACAATACCGTCAATACCTAATTAAAGTATTTAAGTATTCTTAAATTATCATCTATTATAAATTATATAAAAATATAAAGCAATAAAGCATATTATAATAAACACCCATGAACTTAAAAAATGTTGCAATTTTCAATTTGTTTACATTTTTAATTGTCTATTATTTTTTACTACATTTATATTATTGTTCTAGGGCCCTTTTACTGGAAATAGTTTGAACCCGGCACGATCATTAGCACCAGCAATCTACAACAATTCATGGAACATGCATTGGGTAAATGATAATATCTTAATAACTATTGAAGGTTGTTATATAAACAAAATGTATTCAAACAATTATTTTTTTCTTTTCAGGTATACTGGGTCGGTCCATTTTCCGGAACAATAACATCAACGCTCTTCTACAAATATATTTTTATGGCATTAGATAACGAAGAACGATTAAAATAGAGTGATATATTCTTATGACAGCTTCGTATCACATACCTGACACTTGACAGCGCTCGAATTCAGATTCTATTGTCGTTCTTTTACATTAAATGCTGAAGTCAGTGTAAATTGTGTTCTGTAATATCCTTTATAGGACATTCATCTCCATGTTTATTTTTCTACTTAATTATGTTTTAGTCTCTACCAAATTATTTAGTCTTTTAACTGTTTTATTTAATTTTTCTAGGATTTTTAAACTGTAAATGAGTTAACTTTATACATGAGCTATGTATATTTTATACATCAAGCTACAATGATGTTAACTCACAGTATTACGTAGATTTATTTTTGCAAAAATAATTTAAATTTATATTTTGGCAATAACTTTAGTCATTCATAAACAATATTCATAATATGTATTATGTATATATTGTAATGAATGTATATTTTTATTTTAAGTACATAATAAATTTATTTTTTATATGTATTTATATGTATGGATCATTTCAACTAATAAATACAAAATACATATTATGTTATAACAATATGACAATCTAAAAATAAGTTATATAACAGTATGAATGTTAAATATCATCATATTCAATGATGTCTAACATTAATATTAATTATGTCTCAGCTCAATAAGTGATTATTTTATATGTATGGTGCCTAACCTTGTCTATAATATTTTTTTATTAAAATATAGTAGTATATTATAGTTAATTAGTAATATTTTTATTTTTTATACTGTATTATTTTTTTTCTGGGAAATCAGTGTTTAAAATAAAACACTTGTGTGACATATATTATTAAAATGATTTTATTTTCTCACAAGTTTCAGCAATAATATATTGGTAACAGTCTTTAATAATTATTGCCCCAAAAGTATTCTCTGTTCTGGTCTTATAATAATTGATATCGGTGTTTATTGAGGAATGAGAATGACAGTATATTTAAGTTAAGTATTAATGTATTATAATATATTATGGTTTTGTGAGAATTAAATAATAATATTCTGTAGATGCTCACCTATCCTCAAATAAATCTGTGTGATACACTGATACACATCCAATCCAAGGTGTACCTTGAGGTGACTGTTGACTGAAAATTAGACACTCAAAATAATTTTAATCCTTAGGCTTTTAAACCTTGGAAAAAAGTAATAAACATGCATGCGAGTCTCAATCTTATATACCAAAAGAGTGTTTGAAGTCAAATGATCCATGCGTCATGGGTCATTACTAGACACAATATGGCATATCGCATATGGATACACCTAACTGTAAAAAATATGAGGTTATGCCACTTTTTATAATTTGCAATGTCACAACAAGGATGCCAACAATTTTGCCAGATTGGTAGTTCGGAGATTTTTTTACGGACACAATTTTTCTTTATTATGTATATTGCTGATGGTGTAGACTGTAGGATGAATATATATTTTAATTATTGTATTTGGAATATTATGTATTGTATTTTATAGATTCGTAGACCTAAACTAATCTTTTAGGAACACTAAAAAAGTTATAACAATACGTTCATAAAATGAGATGTTAAATAGGTATTTAAATGTCACATAATATATTGTATGGCTTTTTTTAGTGTTCAAACCGAAATGCTACATTGTTAAAATAAATTGATGGTCTGAAAAAAAGCTTATAGTAGTTATACTTTATATTTATTTTGTTCAAGTATTTAAACTTGAAGTACCCACTTTAAAAAATTAAACATTTTTTACAACACTTTTATTATTTAAAATTAGAAATGCATAATAAATGTTTGGCGATAGCACTGCCACTTGCCAGGATGTATACGGTACAACTTAAAACACATGGGTAAATTATAGCTATTAATACTTTTGGTATAAAACGATGATTATTTTATTGTTTAATTATTTTAATAATAATATTTTATCTAAATGAACACAAAATCCGTATAATACTATATTAATATTATAGTATAACTATATCACGTAGGTATCGAATAATATTGTTAAATGACAAAGCTATAATAGAACAAAAATATTAAGAATCACAAATTTAAAAAAAATATACCATAATACGGCTTATAATATAATATTATCATTAAATGATAATCTACATCGTGTTACTAACCCAACCTATTATGTTAAACATCCGTTATCCACGAGTTCTTTAACCAAGTCTGCAATCATTTGACGACATAATAAGTTGCTAGTGGTCATGACCGGGTAAGGTTCCTTGCTGGGTTCGTCGTCCATGTTGATCGTATCTTCGGTATACATGTCTGGAGCCAGCTCCGAGTCACACGTAATGATCGGTATCATATCTAGTGCTACTCCTAGACCGAACACAGTGTATTCACGCACCTCTTCGTATAACCTGCAGTGATATGGTTTATTCATTTATTTATTTATTTGTAAAAAAATATAGAATCAAATTCATGTAATAACATCGATAATATTATAAAAAAACAAGCAAAACCGATTTTTAAAATTGATAAAACAATTTATTAAACTAGGTAATACGATTTTAATTGAAACGACTACCTGCCGATTTCCGAACAAAGTGGGTAGGCACCTACTTTACCCTTTACCAGCTATTTACTATTTAGAAACCATAACTAACGGCTGTTTACTATTTGTTAAATATTTCTACTAGAGAACACACGGAGAACCCGGATAGTTATCACGCGGAAGTCAATCTGAAATTTCTAGGACAAAACTACAAAAGTAATAAACTTTATATTATTTTTTTTTAACACTTTTAAATGGCTTATTTCAACTGCAGCAAACGGATCATAAATAAAACTAAAAAAAATTGAAAATAATAAATATAGTTAATTTAATGAGAACAAATTAAATTCATATATAACTTACATCTATCAAGTGACAATGATTTACCAAATATCAGCTCAATATGAAAATGAAAACTCAATATTAAATGATAGGTTGTGGAGTGGAAATCAGTTAAGGAAATCTCTGTTTTCCTTCAATACAAACATTTTTTTAATATGATTTATTAATGGTGCAGGTATTATGGTTATACCTATACATATATCAGTTTTAAACTTGTGTAGATACCTAAATTAAATTTTTTAGGTCTTAAAAAATCAAAATTCGATGAATTTGAAATGATGGCCGCTGTTTCTTAGCTTGTAGAAACTTTAACTTGAAATTTAAATGATATAACAATAGGAGCTGTGTTGTTTATTCACTATTTATTTTTGTACGTGGTCGATGTATAGGAATATCGAAGCCCGAAGGTACAGCTTGAGACTCTGAGAGTTCCTACCTATTATACATTTATACTTTTACGGAATTACCTATAAATTGTGTTTAAGGGCGTCATTTTTATTTAAAAGAAGAGAACATTTTGCAGGTAAGATCAAAGCCTGATTTTCAAAATTTTAAATATAGAAGTTATAATAAGAATTTGAATAATGCACAAAATGTGTTCTTTTTCAAACCCATTTTTCTACCATAATTTAAAGTAAAAAAAAAATTTGGCCTTTGATCTGACCTAAAAAAGGTGGTCATCCCTTCAGATAAAAAAAAAAAATATCTGCCTGAATCTGTTTAAAATTAAAACACGTTTTAGAACATTACTAATTTTCATGTTTTGGTTTTTATAACATTAATGAATAAGCCATAAGGTATATTAAACACATTTTAATAACTAATTGTTATTGATTTTATATTTAAAATATAGGTACAGTAGATAATATGTTAAATAGTATCGAAATACATTGTACTACTATTTACTAATTTTATTCATTATAATATTAAATAGTTAGGTACTAGCTGTATTACCCGACTTCGCCCAGGTTAAAATTAATCTTTATTTTTATAATTTTCCTTTTTTCTTTAGTTGAAATATATAACACAATAATATAATATCTCAATTTTAGACACATACAATTTTGAATTTATAAACGATTTTGACACCTAACCAAATTATCATAGCAAAAATATTTGTAGGAAGGTATTTATAATATAATTTTGATTTTATTATTTAGGTAACTATATGACCAGGTAGTATATCATTATTGAATACATTTCCTCGAGAATAATTTATAATTATCGTCGATACTTTTTACTTAATTAATTTTGATTTTAAAACTATATTAAGATTGATTCTATGCAATTATAGTATTTATTTTAAATAAATCAATTCCGGGTAAAAATAAAATTGTCATAAGTTCTTACTTTTGTCGAATATCTGGATAATGATTCAAACAGTCTGTTTGCGTTAAGACACTGACAATTGAATCGTAATATTCTTCCAACAGTTCAGGTAAATACTGTTTTCTTAACTCTACACTGGTACAGCAATACAAAAGACTGACCAAGTCCAATGCTGGAGAGCCATACCTAGCCAATTGAAAGTCTACTATAGACACCTTGAAAATGAATAAAAATCAATTAGGTATTATTTTTTTTGTATTTGTATGACTCGTAAATAATGTCACGTCTTATACTTCAGATATGCTCCCGTCTTGAGCGTACTGAAACAAAAAGTTGTTCGTCCAACAATCACCGTGACAGAGTACAGCTAGCGATTCTTTAGGTGACACCAGTCCCACCATATACCCAAAGAACGATTCGTGGTTGACAAATTTTCGAAATTTATCCAAATATTTTGGTTTTTCGTCTTCGGTCAATTCAGCCTCCAGCTGTTAGAAAAAATAAAAACCTCGATTATCGTTTATAATATAATATAAATTACTTGAAATTCGATGATATTTCAGTATTAACGGTATCTATGTGTATAATATTTACCATTTTCTCTGCGTTCTCTGCGGCTCGTCTGTAATATCCTTTGTACCACAATTCGTTTTCACTCTTGTAGTACACTTCATTTATTGCGTCCGAGATGCATTCTTTAAACTTTTCTGGTTCATCGACTTTCATGGATAGCGATAACCCGTGGAATTTGCCCAAGACTCTGAAAAAACATTACACGCCAACTCAGACGCATAAAATAATATTCCCACCAAATCATTACCTTAGTATGGCTCTACAATGGTTAAAATCAAGACCCTTCATTCTGTCTAACATGGTGAATCCTTTGCATCGCATGTCTTCCAATATAACGATATCGCTTTGGGCCAAATAACATTTCGGCACACTGTTAAAATTTTCGACCAATTTTTTGAGCTCCTAAAGCATTAGTGATTTAAGCCTTATGATAAAAATATAACATATAGGTAGGTAGGTACTCTATATACGGACTTGATATTTCATCAATGCTGTAAACGATTTTGTATAGAATGTTACTTCGTTATTAAACAGTATTTCAGATTTATATGTATTTCTCGCCTGTCTGTTATCGGGCAAACACTTGTAGATCAGAGATTTTGACCAACCGTTGTCACCATACAGTTGGATTCTGTACAACATTGATGTATAGTTATCGCCTCGTTTTGATCCTAATGCTATCTGTAAAGTACCGCAATTCGACCAAGCCCAACATTAGTAAACGTGGGTATTTTATAATATTATTGTACAATTTATTTTAGGTGCATCACTCACTTCGTACGAATTAATTTTTACTCCAGGTTCGGTCTTGTCAATCATGGATTGCAGAAAAACCAAATCTATGTTTTTAGATCCAGACATGATGCAGCGTTCTTGACTACAGGATGCATACGATTAAACTGAAGCTGAATATTCCCGAGCAGACCCATTCGTCAATTACGAATACATTTTTGTTTATAGGTACTACTTATATGTCAATGTGGGGACTGACGCACATCCGTATACACTCACGCAGTTAAGTACAATCAAAAAGACGACCATAGCTTCTGTTATGTGATAAAAATATAACTTTAATTTTTGTATGACATTACAAGTTATTATGTACCAGATACCATGTATGATGTATTAGTAGCAAAATTAGGGCATAATATTACTGGAACAACAGAATAAATGTTGATTATATACAATAATTCATATTTTAAACAATCGGTTCGAATAATAATATTGAAAAATATAATTATTGTATTTCCAAGATATGAATACCAGTAAGCCACTTTTAGATTCTGAGCTGAGCGATGAATGTATTGATTTTACAATGATATGTGTTTTTTTTTTGTGTCTGACAATACCTTTTAGGACAGTAAAAATGCTTAGATTTTCTTTAACAGTATCTTTTTAGTGAATCTAGTTGGTACTTTGGGGGGGGGGGGTCAAAAGTAAAAAGAAAAATTAAGGAAAAACGGAAATTTTTACGCAAAATGTTTGTATTAGCATTTTCTATATGACCATAACATTGGTTAAAAATATTTTGACTTATTTTTAGCTGTTTATACAGACATTTTCAGTTTCCAATTTTTTTATTTTTTTTTTTCTATAAACATCAATATTTTTGAATAACTATAAGTTGGTCTATAAAATATATTAATTGGTAATCATTATTATTTGATTAACCTAACTGTTATTATTGTATTCAAAAATGTTTGACATTCATTTTTCACATTACATAATAATAATAATAATAATATGTATTAAAAGGAAAAAAGTAATTAAAGAATCTATTGTGATTTGTGACCAGTTTGATTCAATCATTCTTTGAACCATTTATGTCATCCACAGTAGGTGAATTAAAATTTAATCAATGCATGAATGAAGTATGATATAGAACTAGGAAGTACCTTTATAATATGTGGCTATTATATTGTACTTATAACAAACAATTTTCCATAAAGAGGAAATCGCTGTAAGTTTGTACTCTGCTTATTAACAGGAACAGTAAATAAAAATACAAAACCAGATAGTTATAAATGTTCATTATTTTTATTTACATCACACAGACATCGACAATTTACACGCTATAAAATAATCTACAAATAGATAATTTACGTGTAAAAAGAAACCAAATTGTCTTAGGAAATCCGAGAATCAGGCAGTCCTACTTTCACTCAATTATATACCTATACGTTAAATGCATAATACATTAATACGCAACACTGAAATATCGATTTTTTAGGTTCTTATAACTACTGAGACCCATCACGTTTATAGTGTAGTTAAATAATAGTAATAATAATAATAATGAAAAAAAAAAAACAATAACAATACAATGCCGCGGTGATACACATTGACCTAAAACACGTACTGTCGCTCGAAAGTCGTCTAGGTCATGGTTGAAATTCATCGCAGGCGACCGGCGATTACCTCTTCCAGCCCGTAGTAGGATACCAACATAAACCATGGTTAGTTGGTCGCGTTATGACAACGGAAATCATGCTGCTTCATTGGTATACCCGTCGGACCGTCGGTAAACTGACAGATCTGCAAGCCCATTTTGGAGAGTGGATGACATTTACTGCGCTGATTTCCCCATTTGCCGTAATACTGCATCCAGATGGGAAGTTTTTTCGACGAGTTCAACACGTCGACTTTTAGCCAAGTTTTCCATGGAAATCCGTAGCCACTGTCGTCGTACAACCGCGGTATCCGCACGTATTTGTGTTTTCCTGTAAAACGAATTGATATAGAAATAATTTTAGTAATGCATATAGTTGTAACATGCAGTGTTGCGACATATCTAGATGAACATTTCATTATCTATTACCTTATCTATAGATGAAAATCTACTGATCGTCTTTTTTGTTTTATTTTACTAAGGAGTATCATCTAAGTGCATACCTAAGCATATTTGTTACATTTGAATAAAATCATTAGTTTAAAAACATAATAAAATTAATGATGCGAGTATTGTGTGTAACAAAGACCACAGTTTTTGATTTTTAAAAGAGAACAAAAAAAATATGCAAGAAATGCTTATTAAGGGAATGTTATTAATTTTATTATCTATATGGTTGGATTAGGAATCGTTTATGTTAATTAGGTACCTACCTATAATAATTATAGTATGAGCACTTATTTTTAGAAGCAAAATTATTTATAATGATTTAATTTGTATCATACATACATATCATACATTTAAATCTCTATATGTACTATCCTCTATGAGGAGACTTTTGAAGAGGTCTGGGGGGGGGGGGGGGAGTTGAGCCCTGTAATTGTGTAATAGGCGTGTAATAGTAAAGACCCAGATGATAGGAGATTTATCGGACAATAAGGACTATAATATACATAGCCGCAAATAAGGGGGAATGGGGGTGCTTAGCCTCCCCCCCACAAAAAAAAGTAATGATTTCACTACTATAATTTAAAAGTATCATAAGATATGATACAAATGTCACTATTTACGCGTATGATATATAATATAACCCTTAATCTCCACCCCCTGGGCATGCCACTGATCATATTATTATTATGTTTGTCCGATGAGATAATTTATTCAGACCGTGTGATGATGTATAATATACGAATATTGTTGTTAAATCTATAATATTGAGTTATATCAGGCGCGTATCCAGAATTTTATTTCGGGAGGGGCTGAACAAAATTATCAACATAGTCACACAATAAAACAAAAAAGTGGGTAAGTGGATGTCGCTCTGCTGTACAGTAGGAGGTTACAAGTGGGTCACTGTAATGGATGGTGTAAAATTTGAATTCAATGATATAATATCATTGTATAAGAAAAACGATTCTAAGCGAAAACGGTCCAGTCAGCCTATGATATCAGCCTACTAAGTATATTTGATGATATTATTGTAAATAAAGTAATTTATATATTTACCTATTTACGTGGATCATTGTTTTAAATTTTTAATCCTTAACTATGAAAGTTGAACATTTTATAAATTTTAATTACAAAATATTTATTACATTTTAAATTTGATAAATTTTGTCAAAATTCGAACTTTAAATGATTATAAGAAAAATTGTGCCTATGTATTTTTAATATTTTACAACTGCTATTGTAACAATATATCAGGAGCCTTGCGTTAAATTTTCATGCTTTTTTACCCAACAAAAAAATTTTTATTGATATTTATAGAAAAAAAACTAAGAAAAATGAAAACTGTCAATGTCCGTAAATAGCTCAAAAAGAGGCAAAATATTTTCAAATTTTTTTGGTGTATAAAAAATGAAAACATTCAGCAAAATTTTAAGTTTTGTGATTTTTCCGTATTTTGTCAAGATTCGAACTTTAAATGCTTATAAAAAAACTATGACTAAGGATTTTTAATATTTTTCAACTGCTATTGTAACAATATAGCAGGAGCCTTGTATTAAATTTTCAAGCTTTTTACCCAACAAATAAAGTTTTATTGACATTCATATTTTTTGGATTTTCTTGAAATTTCAGGGGGGGGCTGCAGCCCACCCAGCCACCCCCATAAATACGCCCCTGAGTTATATTATAATATTATCGCACCTGGAGCGGTCCACAGGCCGTGAGATCCCTTGGCCGCGAACAGCACCGGATGATTGCCCTCGTCTGTCAAGTGCACCACTTCGGGAAACTTAGGTTTTTGCAAAAAACCTTTACGCACCTCTTGTCGGTTGAAAACAAACTTCCGCCGATTTCGATCGAACCGATAAAACGCGCCAGCATCGTGCACGGACACATACATTTCTTCCGGTTCGTCGTAGCCCTGCGGAAAAAGAAAACGGATATTATTAAACATTTAAACCTTTGTCAACTATAGTCCTATTCACGCAATGCTGTAAGCAGGACACGCAACAATGCAGAATTTTTTCTTCTATAAAATAATTATTTTGTACATTATTTAATATTTTGGTTATATACCTATTACCTATATATTTTGTCTACACTAAACAAAGCTTTATTTTGAAATGAATATAGAATTTACATTATTAATAATATACTTAAGTTACAGGCCGGAGTTAGGGAGGGGGCTCAGGAGGCCCACAGATTTATTTTAACATCAAAATAATTCCATTTTCTATTTTCGATTCGATTTTTGCGCTGTTTTTTTTTCAAATAGAATTTTCAGTTTTAATTATTAAGACTTGAAAATTTAAGTATTCAATACAAAATAATTGTACTGATCGTATTTTTATAAACGTTCGTAAGTATAATATTAATAAATATTACCTACAAAATGTGAAATTTGTATGATTCTCTTCGATTAAAAAAACCATCCGAAAACATTATTGTAAACCAAACGCGTCTACGACCTAACTATACCTAAGTGGATGATTTAAAATAATAACTCCTTGAAGACTAGATGATATGGATGCTTTGGATAATGGATATATATTTGTAACATTTAAAATCTATGTAATATTAAGTATAGTTGTTATTATTATACCTAATATGGATATATTGTTCATAACTATTTTAAAATCATCACGTATATTTTCTAAGCTAATTGTCATGGACATATTATTAGTAATAGTACATAAAGTGTAATAACTATATCTCATTTAAATTTTGATTAAGACAATAATATATATACAGCAACATTTTCAAAGAAAAAATCATATGATTAAATAATGAAAATGGTAGCTCACATTTGAAAAAATAAGTTCGTATATGTATTATATCGCCATAGAACGATCCATTAATTTTAATTATCTTTTTGCAAGTATGGTCTTTCAATGTACCTATATAAACTTTCCAAAAATCAGAATTTTTATATACATAAATCATACACAATGTGGGTTAAGTTGCCCTGTATATTATAATAGGTAATGTGTATACTTTTGTTCTTATGTCCTGTTATAATATTATAAATTTCATACGTACATTAAACATGAGACTCATGTGTTCCCAGTCTCCGACATGGCTGCCGAACTCTTTGAGGGTGCCGAAACACCTGTTGTTGAAGACTGGCAACGGGAGCGGGCCGAGCAAGCCCATGTCCAGTGTGCATATCGGCTTGCCCTGGCTGAACGGGAAAAACAGCCAATACGACACGTGGAAATGTTTATGACCGCATTGCGTGACGTGAGCGTAGACGGGCACGGTGGTCGTGTTCGGGTTCTGTCCGTATAGTACGGAAGTAGTGTTTTCCAGCAGTTGTTCTGTGGTAAACGAAAAGAAAAACTATTACTGTGACAAATATATCATTGAACATGATTCGTACAATATAACATTATTGTTACCAGGGCTCGTGGCTTATGGCATTTATAGCGTTTTATGCTAGGTATTTCGATTTGAGAATGAGAGTTCGTAGTCTTAGACTACCTACCGCAAGTGAGTAATAATAATTTCTTGTTCCGTTTAGGTAACTAACAATAATATGAATATTTTTAAGAGCATATTATATACGATTGCGCTCACTATAAATTCAATTTTTTAGTGCCATGACAAAAGAGCTACTTGCTCTGCAAATTATTATCATATAATATTATGTTTGATTCATGATTTTAGCAACTGGGTTAACACTTAACACACGCATACAATAATAATATACTACTGTCTATGTTAAAAGTGTAAAACACGTATTTAAATGTTTCAATCACCTTTAAATGTAGGTATACGAGTACCTTGACCGATGAGTAGAACTTGCGTTTGTTATACCTACGACCTACCTACTTGCTGGGGTTTGGCACATAATTATAATATAATATATTAATTATTAATCCTTTCTTGGCTCCAAAAAACTGGTTTAATAATAATATTATTATACAATATACCTAACTGATTTGTAATATAAATATTTATAAATTTAGGATATGTATTTGATGGTGAAACAGAGATATAAAAAGCTCTGATATCCTCTTAAAAATATTCCATACAGTTCAAGTATTGATAAAGAGGACCCCGTCTTTATTTTCAATCGGTATTGTATATGTAAATTTGACAAGTTAATAGGTTAATATGTTCATGACACAGGTACAAGGTACTGTATACGTTTATAATAATGTATTGTTTTCGTAGTCTTGGAGTTGAAACATTAAAAAGATATCTATCTGAAATAAAACTATGATTGATAGTGCTGAAAAATTCAAAATGTAATTCATTTATAATTGATGCACGAGAAGTCGAGAAGATATATCTAACGGAACACTCGTGACTCGTCCATAGTAGTAAGTTCAATATTATAATGTTGTTAATTATAGACTAATTAGTCTGCAGTAATCTTGAACAATCTCTTCAATTGTGAATGGAACTTAATATTGGAATCGTGATTTATCTCATCGGGATCGGGTGTTTGAGACTTCTAATAAATAGGTACATACAATTTTAAAATGTCAGCCATTTTTTAATGATGTTTAGTAGATACAATATGACAGTGTGGTAAGTAGGTGGGGGAAAGATATATCGGCTGCATACGAACTGAGTCCCAGTATAACCTTTTATGACGAATTGAGTCCCGGGTTGTTTTAGGGTATATACCAATTGAGTCCAGTGAAATTTTAGGTATAATACTAATTTAGTCCATGTTTTAATACTAACTGAGTCCCGTAAAATTTAAAAAAAAAAACATTTTCCTTCCCATTTTTACAGACTTAGGATTGTCTGTAACAAAAAATTCTACAGGTATGGTTAAAAATGTTTTTTTTCTTAAATATTGTATAATATAAATATATAATAATGTAGGGGTATAATATAATATGAATAATTTGTGTATAATTAAATAAATGTAGATAATGATAAAATAACATTTTTATATTGGTAAGAATTTATGGGATAAGCATTGTACCATATTCAAATCTACTTATTGTGTTCGATTGAAACAGCTGCATTTGATGGCTGATTTATTTTAATTTTTATTTTAAAAAATTTCTTGAATTAATTATATGAACACTTCTAATTTTTATATACGTTTCGCATTGTATATTCAACAAAATATTTTTTCTACGTTAAATATTCTTAGTACAACATACAATTAGCTACACTCATTACGAAATGTTTAGTATTTTAAATCAAATCACCCCCTCCCACAACTCCCCCCCCCAAAAATAAGGTTCCAGTTTCGCCACTAATACACAATGATAAAGAAAAAATGCAATAGAAACATCGAAAATTATAAAATATAATTAATTGAGTAAATCGACCCATATAGGCACTGAAACTTAAGCTAATAACAATTATACCCAACATAGGTGTAGTATAGTACCTATTAGAAATTTTAACATATTATTAGTTCAATACTGAAATACTTATGTAAAATATTTTAAGTGTAGGTATTATATTAGATTTGTTTATTTTTGCTAATTTTGACAGAATTGTTCTATGGACAGAATATAGGTACTAAGTACTTATAACGATAACAATTTGAAAATTTAAAACCGCATGACTGAAACGAACGAGCTATAATGAATCTGACACATTTTAGAAAGGTGATGTACGTTTATATATTTACTAATACGCGTTCGTTATTCACAATATAAAAAAACATTAAACATTATAACTGCAGACTAATGTAAGCTGCAGAGTTATTATAATTATCAAAAAAACTAATTTACTACAAAATAAAGTGACATATGTATACGAATAGAATTTAAGATAAATCCATGGATTGCAAATTTACAAACAGTTAGTACCTATGTATCTAATCATATTATTTATAATCTGCAGAATTCAGACTTTATAGCACATTTAAAGGAACTATGATAGGTATGCCTTAAAAATATAGAAAATAGCCACAAAAAAGTTTTTATTTATTATAGTTATTACTCATTAAGTATATCTATTACATTTAAGATTAAAATTTTTATGACAATTAATTAATAAATTATTTAACGATCTTGAATCAGTAAGTATATTAGTAAAATAATTAAGTATATTTTATGTAATATATATGAAGGTAGTTGGTAGGTACTTGAAAAAGTTTGTGAATTATTTAAAAAATATATGGATGTTTTTTGATAGTATAGGTAAGTGTTTGATTGGTGTTCTAATAGGAAAAAACATACTAAAGTAATATTTATTTCCTTATAGGAACTTACACAACATTTTTATATTCGTATATAAACTTACACACATATATATATATATTTATATATCATTTGTAGGAGTTAACATTATTTACCTACTTTACCTGCTATACTCAGACAGTCATAGATAGGAACTTACCAATTATTATGTACTTTTAAAGTACGTTACGTATATATTTCCATTAACTATATTTTATGTAAATAGTAAATACTCTAAACATTCAAATTAAAAGAAAACTATCAATACCAGTCATTAGACACTAATTACTAATTAGTAATTAGTATTAGCCAATATAGTTAAAATGTTAAAAACTGTTTTTTACAAGGAACACACAATTAAAATAATCATACTTGTAGAATACAACTTAAATTCCCGCAAATAGAATAACGTGTCTGAAGTACAATATTATATTGAAAAGATTTAATTTTGTACCTATATATTATTATTATATTTTTACATTTTTAAATAATATTTTTATACCTATATGACGATTTAATAGCCGAGCAAGCTGAGGAGTGTCATCGAAATTATCAAAACAAATACCTACTGATTGGATTAGATAAAGGTACATAATTTTAATAACTGAGTAAAATTTTAAGTGCCGTATCCTGTATGATAATTAAAACTAAAACGCCTTCGACAAAATAAGTTATAATTACTGTTAAGTTATGTAACACACCAACATAAGCCATAACATGTATGTAGCCATGTAGGTATAACGATGTTATCATATAGTGTATTACATGTTTAGGCTTGCAAACATTGTACTTGAAATTATACGCTTATTAGTTATTTTTTACTAACGCATACCTATAGGTACTTAATGTCAAAAATATTGTTTATTGTTGTTATTTCTCCTACACGCCTAATTTTATGTATAGATTACAAAAAGTGAACAATGTTCTGGGATACAAAGAATATACAATCGATTTTTAATTTAATAATAAACATATTACATAAGTACAATGGTTATGTAAATTATATTTTATTTTAATACATGGACAAAAAAATTATTTTTAATAGAATCGTTGTACACCCGCTTGTTTATTAGATTCGAAGCGATGAATGTATTGGTTTTAAAACGATGTGAGCGTGTTCTATTTTGTCTGTCATCACATTTTAGTGCAGTAAAACTGTTTCAATTTTCTACTTTGAGAGTGATGTCTGGTAGTAAATTGTATCGAGTTGCAGGATCAAAATAAAAAAGTTCCCAGTAGTTTTAAAAATAAAACAAAATGGGAAATTTTAGGTTAAACTAGTTTTCAAATTTCGACAGTTTATTTTATTTTATTTTTTTTGTATAGTTAAAAAATGAACAACTATATAGGTACAGCAGAATTGAATTTCTCACCAAATATTTATATACATATTTTTTTATAAATAATTTATAATTTTCAAAAATTGTGTATGTTTTTGTTTTATTTATAAATATTTGAAATTTTCTACTTTTTTCGAGTATATGACACGCAATAGGTAAATATTTTAATTTTATAAATTTATAAATTTCGATAAAAAAATGTTCCCTCAGTAAAACAGTTTGAAAATTTAACACAAAAGTTCTTTCTTACATTTTTCTTATAGCAATTATAAATATCAAAAATATAGTCGCTTGAAAGTTGAAAGTTGTTTACAAGGTTTCTAATAAACATGTTTAACTGGAATTTAAAAAAAAGTTAGTGTGAAGGCTGAAGGTGCATATTATTATGAGTTTTTTAATTTAAAATGTTAACGAAACATGTTTTCCCCTCTAACAGTCAAATGGTGTTGATATTTTTTGTATCTCAAAAAATATTAATTTTCAACACTTAAAACATACCACTTCTTATATTACTTAAATTATAATTTACCTAACACAAATAAACTTTAAAAATATTTAGACTTATTTTAAGCTAGGTACCTCTTTAAAGGCATTTGAAATATTCGATTTTTTTTTTTTTTTTTTTTTCCGGACACTTACCAATACCTCATTCTTATATTAAAATTGATCGTGGAATTTTATAACCACACTACCACAACAGTATGCCGTAAAGCACAGTCATCTAAATACGGACATATACACAACAATATATTATAATAATGTAACGTGTTACATATCTAAGTCTATGAGGAAATTCTGTGTTTGTTCACGTGTATAATATGTATATATAATATTATGTCGTGTAAAAGACCGTAAAGGGTTAATAATAATAATACAATTGTCTATCCAATCGAAAGTGTTTACGCAATTTATCGACTCAATCGTTGAATCGTATATTATACTCTCGTATAATATGTAAATAATATAAATTTATTGGTAGTGATTTAGAACGTTGGTACCCGCCACATACTATTATATTATATTATTATTATTATTGTGATAATGTGTGTTCCGGTCACTCGACATGGTCCGTGTAAACCGACAATTATGATAATAAAATATTATCTAGGACAGATGACAATATATCTATATGACCAGGAGGTTATAGGCCCAATCAACGGAGAAAAAATACAGTAATGTTCTTATATTCTTATATTTGTACATATTATATTGGCAACTATTTGGCATTCCTATATATAACTTTATAATTACTCAATGTAGAGGAATAGACAATAGTATTAGTACTTAAATAAATAATATTTTATCCATGTATTAAATCTCATTAAATTTAATGTAAAATAGTAAACACAAAAAATATTTTTAACTTAATATTGTCATTACTAAATAGCCACAACCAAGTTTCAGACATTACATATTGGTATAAATGTTGAAATGTGGTGTTTACTATATTATATATACCACAAGTAGACGTTAATACGTAACAGCAAGATATCCATGTAGGTATACACAGTGGTCCTGTTTAAAACCTGTAAACCTAATCATTATTTCGATTTTTTTTAAAAATTAGATGATCCTTATTTTGTTTCACCGTCATTTGAGTGAAACAGTAGTCACTATATATACTATATTAATATTATAGATTCATCGATTATAAAACGATTACCCGTATTATATAATTATTTTAATTTTAAGCAGTCTGAAGTGGAATACTTTAGTCAAAAATGAAGTTGATGTTCTATATTAAATAAGTTGATGGCCCTGCAAGTCTCGCAGTTATATAAAATATACAAAATAATGAGTTCCAGCGTTAAAAGAATCGTTCTGTATACAAATATGCAATGTATGATATCATATTATTATATAAATATAATATATTATGTTATATGCACGACATTAGCACTATAGTAGCTAATATAATACATACATATATATATATTATATATTTATTTATACACTATATAAGTATTATATCTATGGTATTGCTCACCGACTTCGGACTTGGTGACCAAAAACCACGACTGCGAATCCGGGCCCATTGGCACTTTAGAGTGTTGCTGTATGTCGTTGGACAGGCTACGTGGCTTAGGCGTCACGTGATTCAAGAAATCGGTCACGGAACCCGGCAGGAATTGTTCGTCCGGTGCCAACCATATTAGAGGTGCCCAGCGGCGGACCATCTTCTCCACTAAAACACGAAAACGTGACGGTAAAGTATAATATAATATTTACCACGGTATAGGTAAGTAAAGAAATGGGTTTTATAATATGGTTTTTTGCCGTATTGCGGTGGCTAAAAGCCGAGTGCAATTCAACGAGTATTTTTTACGGGCGAGTTTATATTTTGACGAAATTACAGAATCACGCGTAACGTCATAACAATTTTCTTATTTTACTGTGATTCAATTAAGAATAAACGTAGGAACTCGATAGTATATTGGCATTTATTATAGACGGTATAATTTTCAATATATTTTGAATCTTTTTGAGCTATTTATGGACATTTTGGATTTTTTTTTTTATAAATATCGATAAAAAAAATGTTCAAATTTGTCAAAAAAAAATATTTTAATATTTTAATATTAAAAAATATTAATTAAACTTTTATGTATATTATTACATCTGAGGGATGGTAAAGTGCGTTGGCCAAGTTCCAGCATATAAGCCAGTGTACCTTTATACTCTAGTGCAGGGGTCGGCAAGTAATTTATATTGGAGTCCTAACGATTAAAATAATAAATCAGTGAGGTCCAGTGAAAAAAATCTTTTTCAAATCTTTATATTTTAAAAGTAGCAGTATGTCACTGCCTGGAGGAAATTTTGTATGAAAATCTTTATGAGTAGGTAGTTTCATAATGCCGTTTTAAATTTCCACTGTTAATAATAGCGACAGTTGAATTGCAAATTAAACAGACTGGAATGGCTCCAACCCTTTCAGGCATTATAAAACAATATAGTTCAGTCCACAGTAGAGTTCTTAGAAAATCGAAATATTTGGTATTGTCGTGACTCGGCCGACGGCCGATAACATTGTAATAAAACCGATTATTACCTGCCCGATAAAATATTTTTCAATGAATTATGATATAACTATAATCTGAGTTTGATAAATTAAATTAAATAAATGTCTATATTAATAATAATACTATTACAGAAAATAACATAATAAAGTACAATGTGTTGACAGGGTCCATAGTTTTGCCTTCCACGGTCCGGATCCGGACCGCGGTCCGCCAGTTGCCGATCCCTGCTCTAGTGGCTTCAGCCGTTTTTATAACCCTCATAACTCTGCTTCCTCTTAAGACAAACTAATAAAATTTGAAACATAGCTTCAGTAGCTTAGAAAATTGTAAAAATTTAGCCCTTAATATTAAGCCTTTTCAAATGTGTAGAACTCTAAAGTTTGAATTTTCGTTACTGTCTGACCGATCATGAAAATTGTAAGATGCTTCCCGTATAGGTAGAAAACGGTAAATTTGGCACAAAGGTAAATAAAGAGAAAAATATAAAATAATTGAAATTAAAACATATAATATTTTCTTAGTGTATATTACCTATATCATTGATTATAAATACAATTAGTACTATATTATATAGTATTTGTAATCAATGGTAATATGTATTGTCAAATTCCAATTAATGATCGTTATTGAGTATATATTGACGTTTATCGTTAAAACTTAGCATGAAAAATAGCATTAATATTGAACAATTAAATCATATTTTGAACTCGGGAGGTACCATTTGTGAATATATTTCAACTTTATTCTTCCTCTAGCATTTAATAATCTTTAAGATCTCTCTTCACATCTCTCGATCCTGAGCTATTTCTTTACATTCCTGCTCTCCCATCCTATTAAAGTCCTCTTCCATAGCATCTAGCCATTTTTTCCTGGATCGTCCTCTTCGTCTTTTTCCCGCTGGTTTTCACTAGAACTACTCTGTTTACATTATCCTCTTTCTTTACACCACGTGTGCCAACCCCTGAAGACTTTGTCTTTTTATGAAGCTGATAACTAATGCATGCCATTCAAATTTTTCCCTGTAATTCTTTGTGCAATTGTTTCCTTTACATTCCTTTTTCATTGTCATAGATTAGTCCACATATTATCCTCCATATTTTATTTTCAAAGATCCTTAGTATTCTCTCGGCGATACTAGGTAGAGTATACCTGTCTTATTACTACTGTATATTGTATATAACATTGATTTGGTTTTTTAATTTTTTGGAGAATAATATATTTCGGTGAATCAGTTAATATAGTTATGACACTAAACACGTAATTTGGTAAGAAAAACACGATTAATCAAATTATATCACACTGGATAAAGGCATAAAACCCACGGTAGATCATTGAATATTATTGTTACAAAATATGCTATAATATGTTATTAGTTATTCATGTTTCTTCATGGTATGAAAATTTATTTTTTTTTATTAGTTAAATATATTGCGTGTTTAGCGTATTAATGTATTATAATATATAGTTATACCGAATTCGTCAATCGTCATTCACGGGCAAAAAAGCTGGTCATTCCATTTAAATATAACAAGACTTAGGTTCCAATTCTAGGAAGGCCTCTCAACGTTTTAATATTATTTTTTTATTAGTTATGTACTTATTGTATTATATATTTGGATGACGTTAACTTTCCCCGGACCACAATGGATATAAGACAATTTCTCTATCTATTTTGATTTTTATCATTATATTGATTTTTTATTAGGTTGGTGGAAATTTTATTAGTTTATTGGGTCAAATGCATCCATCAACATTATATATTTATATATCTATAATTAATACTATATTATATTGTTATTCTCGACGATCGCCATCCTGATCATCACTCATCATAATTCATGTCACTCTTTTCGATCATATAGTGTGATTATATCAACAATATTAATAACTGTATTACCTATATATTTATACACTTTATTTTAAGTAGGTTGTATACTATTGTATAAGAACTTTATCACAAACGTGTTCATAATAAAATGTATAAATACATTCTAAACATCACATAAATTTTAATTGAATTATCGTTTTTATTACATTTTTACAATGGTCCACATTTGTAAATTAAACTAATTATATTATTTTTTATTTTTTATAGATTCTATGTTATGCTGGTTTATTCTGAATAATTTAAATTTAATCTAATTAGTAACTTCATGTATTTAACTGCAGTGCCGGTTTCAAAGAGGGTGTAGTAGGCAAATGGTGTATAGTACCGGGGCCTACCAGGGGATTTTTAAGTTGTATATGCTACTTTAAAAACCTAAAGGAGATATATAATTCTTAAAATATTGTAAATAAATACCTATCGCATGTAAAAATGCTTAGTAACTTTTTTTGGGTATACTGAAACTTCAAACTATGAAAGATCTTTCTTATTACATTAGGTATTGAAAATTATTTATCATAAATTTCCCCTGACGTATCAAGGTATAGAATAAAATGTCTATAGATAAAAAGTCATGTTTTTTTACGTGGAAGGAAAATAGTTACTTGATTGGTATACAACATTGAAAGTACATAAAATAAATGAATACATTTCAAAAATAAGTATTAATAAAAACATTTTTTTACAGGAGCTTTGTATTTAATATTAATGCTTTTTTACCTGACAAATAAAATTTTATCGACAAAATTATAAAAAAAAAAAAATTAAAACATCGAAAATTGATAATGCCCTCAAACAGCTCAAAAAGAGTCAAAATGTTTTGAAAATGTTATCAAGTATGGGAATTGATATAATAAGTATATGGTGTAAATTGTATGTATCTACAGTTATTCATTTTTGAATAACTACAAAATAAAAAAAATTCGTTTAGAAAATAATTTACAAATTTTAGTGATTTTTACGTATTTTGTCAAGATTTGAACTTTAAATGCTTATAAGAAAAAACTGTGACTGGATTAATATATTTCAAATGTCATTATAATAACATATTAGGAGCTTTGTATACAATTTTCAAGTTTCTTACCCAACAAATAAAATGTTATTGACTGAAAATGTCCGTAAAAAGTTCAAAATATTTGGAAAAAGTTATGGTGAATAGAAAATGCTAATATAAACATTCAGTCAACATTTTATGTACCTATACGGTCATTTGTTTTAAAGTTTCACCAAAAACCAAAAAAAAGATTTTCTCAAAAACAGATTTTCTCAAAAACAGATTTTGCGTAAAAATTCACGTTTTTCCTTAATTTTTTTTGTTTTTTACGGCGCTTTTGAAAACTACTGAGAAATTACCCCCCAAAGTACCAATAAGATTCACTTTTCTCTCAGAAAAGGTACTGAAGTTGAAAATCGAAGCATTATTATTTATTTCTACTTATCGTGTACACAAATAAAAATTTAAAAAAAATACACATCATTGAAAAATCTTAACCTTCATCGTTCCGCTCAAAATCTAAAATAATAATTATCTCCCAAACTATTTTTGGTCATTTTTATATAGGTCTTAAGCATATTTTACAACTCAATTCTAAACTAGTGCCAACAACTACCAAGGCCAACTATTTTGCTATTATCTATTAAATTAAATTCTATTTTGTTTTTTCTATGCATAAAACTGGTTTGTCCAATGTCACATTTCTTTTTAATTCCTGATTAATAAATACATATCGTCCATCCCGCGTTAACAACATACTCGTAAATTAAAACTACTTTGACAACTCGAATAGATCTAAAATAGTACTTATACTACTGATTGATGTGCCCAACCTACTTTGCTAGCAAGCTACAAATCTTTTTGAAAGAATAAACTTTTAAAAATAAATGTTTAGAAGTTAAAAAATATATGATAATTTAAAATTTAAAATATGACTGTTGACATTAAAATATAAATATATATTATATATTATTCAAAAAAACTATGACTACTAATGGGAATTAGCTAACGATAGAAACTCTCAAGAATATAAGACGTGTTTTATTTTATAATATCAAACGGGAAAAATTTTACCTAATATATAATTTACAATGAGAATATTCATTATATACCTAAGGTTTAGACATTTTGTACATGTATTAGAGAGAACAAAGTAACGTATGTTCAATAAACATAATATTTTAAGTAAGTATAGCCAGTATAGGTATATTAATGTTAATTATTTTTTTAAATGTAAATTGGACAGAGACAATCAATCAATCAATTTTCAATGACGATGAAATCAATAATTTGATAGTATCATAGTAATTCCTATTAACTAGCGGTATTATATTGTTTATAACATCAAATGAAAATGATGAAAAACATTTAAGTGCTCATTTATACTTTAAGCTGCTAAACAATATAAATATTTTAATTTTCGGCTTTTTATACACATACTATATTAAATTACCACTTATACATATAATTAAGTATTATTCCATCGTAGCTGTAAACGTCATCCAAGTACAAACATTTTACGCGTGTCAGCTTAACTATAATACGAAAAATACATGGCTATTTATGATATGTTGAACATGTGTGACCTATGTTCAACGAGACGTAGGTATAGAAACTGAATCAACATTATACCGTTAAAGTATAAAGAACCTCTAATCTGTTGATTTATGACTGTACAATTGGAAATTTGATAATTTCTCAAATTACTATGTCATACACAGCCTATATGCAAGGTGTCCACGCCAAAAATATCCTAAACATATTTTTTGTCCATAATGAACGCTCTCGTTTTCTAAGAAAGTTGTCAATGTATACCTGTTCTGTTTAATATTTGCACAGCGAGTTAAATTTATTATTAAAATCATAACAATAAGATGGTATGCAGACCTCTGTATAGTGGATATTATACTATATTACAATACAATAGTTTCACCAATAAGCTTCTACATATGAATGCTCGGTAAAAATATTGAAAAGATCGTATCAAAAGACCATCCCGAAAAATCATAGTTCAATGATAAATAATTGTGGTTTTTTTTCCACACATGATGTTTTATATTTGATGAGAGCCAGTGATTGTTTCAACAATCATTAATCGTATATTATCTTATTGTGTACAAAGTCAGCAATTTTTTTTTATCCATCATCTGGGCAAACATTTTTAGTCAAAAAAAAAACAAGTCACTGTCCTTCGATTGTTAGCAGAACGAGTTCACATTACTTAATATAATGAGGTAGGTATATGGATATTAGAATAACTTTACCATTATATTTTCTTAACTATACTTCCAACAAATATATTGATTATGTGTATTTAGTACCTACCTTATTAAATACATTTTAATAAGATTATAGGGCCGGGTGTGGCTCGGTGGTTGGCCTCAGTCACTAAATTCTCTGAGGTCAAGCACTGGCCGACGTCGCTAGTTCCCCGATGGGTGACCACTGACCACCCGGGGTTTTAGTGGCGAATCCTCGCTCCACATACACGTGTTCCTCAACCAACCGTAACCCCCCTATAAAATTCTAATGGCCGTAATTGCCGATGCTTAAGATCAATAAAAAAAAAAACTAAATAATTAATATTATTTATATATATATATATATAGCTATATAGGTATTCGTAATATGAATCGTGGTCTAATGCGTAGACGATGCAGAATACTGTCGAATCATATATTTTAATAACACGTTTCTTGAATACTGGTCTAAGTAAACATATATAATATTATATTATACTCTCGAGAACACGTTATTGAAAACTCGTGGCAAATATGACTTAAACATTATACGTGTCAACGTGTGCACTGTCGGTAAATGTTTGAGTATACATATATACTGATCGCCGGTCGTGCAATGCGGAAACCCCGTTCTTTATGAACCAGACCAGAAGACGTGAAAAACGCTGAAACCGGGTTGATTGCTATTCCCCTCTGCAGTCCTCACACGAGTATAATATAATGCGTATGGTACTATGTTTAATGTTTATATTATGAACAAGTAAAGTAACCATCACTGCATGATCTAGCGAGATTGAACAAATTGAAGTCAACAATATTAAGCCCAGTTATAAAAACTAAAATAGCTTAAACAAGTGTTATAAGTTACATTTTGTTACTTTAATTTTTCCTATCACAATTGGTTACATATTTTTGAACAATTCTATTAATAGTTTTTTAATTGCGTAGGGGCAAGTAGAGTTAGTTGGTATAGGAATATATCGATTCATCAATTTGGATTAACACTTGGGAGTGAGAGTTATAAGTTAATTTTTTAATAATTAAATTGTTTTTATTAATACTTCGTATATATTTGGCTGTCAAATTGTTCAGGGATGTCCATCCAAGTTATTCATAGACGAGTAATAAATATACATCTACCTATTTAGTCATCTAAAAGAAAAATACGAGTAACTCGTTAGTTAAAAAGTGAAAATTAACAGCGCGTTATTAGTTCACTGTCGGCAAGCTACGGGTGTGAAAAATTGTATAAATTCGTATATAATATATATACAATATAATAACGACTCAACTGTACAGGGAAGCCACATAGTCGAATAAGGGTTCGACGGGTGTGAGAGGAGCTGACGGTTTCACGCGATGGTCTTCGACGATCTCGTTGTCCTGCAACCTTTCGTCGCGGTCGTCGATGACACCGCCGCCGCCAAATCTTTGCGGTCGCCAACGATCGGTCGTGCCCGACGCGGTCGTCGTCGTCGTCCCAACCGACAACTGGAGCGAAGACAACTGCAGTAGCAGCAGCAGAAACAGCAACGGGCCGCCGACACCGTCGCTGATTCGCAAAAACGCGGAAGCGCACCCTGTCCGGTGCATCAAGACCGCCGCCACCACCACTGAACAACCAGTGGCCGACGACCAAAGTCATAGCCAGTACAATTCACATCGGTCTCGGCGATCGCGTAGTGGGCACGATAGCAAAAATAATATAATATTATTACGATATACCACGATTTTCGTTTCCGCTTTTCCGACGTCGGTGGTAAGGTCACTGTCGAGTGTATATAGATCACGCGATCTATGACGGTTGTAATTATTATAATGTAATATTATGGAATATTTGGATAGCTTATAAGTTATATTCCGGTCGGCGGTATTACGAGAGCGCGAAATCTCAACCGGCCACGCGAACTGATTTTGGGCGCGCGTAAAATTCGTTATTAATTATTATTGTTATTCAACGATAGGTACGATATTGGCACCTTATTAACGATTTCAGTGCAATAATAATAATATATCGTCTGAGAGAGTATATATAGCGTGATCGGAGGTACCGGCACGACTGGGCCGCTGCTGTGCAGTCTTCGGCCGACGACGGTCGCATTTAAAAACCGCTCGAGGCACTTTCACCGCGCGCGATGGATTGCTGCGGCGTCCGTCAGGATCGCGAGTGTGCGGTTTCTGTTTTTTGTTGTTTTTTTTTTAACTTTAGGATTTTTGGCACCAAACGACAGTGAAAGCGGAGATTGGTAGGCAATTTTTTTTCCCCGTCGTCTTTTATCTATTCGTAGGTCACGTATATTGCAGGCTATAGTTGTTGCGTCCCCGCCCGTTTTCCATTTTTCCGGCAGACGCGACTCTGCACAAAACGTACCTTATTCATTATAATATAATATATGAGTACAACTAGGCCGTGGAAAAAAAGTAAAACTATACGATAATCGCCCGCATCGGCCGACTTTTCGGTTTCGAGATTTTCGGCGGCCTTGCGCGCAATATTGACCCGCGAGAATAAGTCGAATATAATGTGCGCATGTGGTTATAACTTTTACCTATTATCTGATAGGTAGGTAGTTATAATGTTATATAGTTGATATATGATAATTATTTACGTATTTCGAATCAGCTGAGTCGCCCGGAGCACTGAGGTCTGAGACCGAATGTTATTATATTTTTAAATATAGGTACTACGTAGGCCTATTATCGGGTTTTTTCGTTCCGGTATTCGTAGTATAATGGCCATTTAGTTGTTATTTATAATAAATAGATTCGCCTATTCGAACATATATTTTTTATGTTTTGATGTGATTTACGAGTAGTTGCACTAATAAATAATAGACAAACGGTCATACGAACTTGTTTTTCAAAATACGAAGACCGAGATTATTTATCGATTTTCACTCTTGCAGAGTTTAAAAAAACTAATGAGATGAACTAAATTTATCTATTATTGTCGATTTTAATCATAATAAAATAAAGGTAAATTCAAGTTTATTATAGCTTCCTAGTTTAAAAAAAAATTAAACACATTTAGTTTATATTTAATAATATCAGTCAGAATGATAGTATAGATAATATATTATTTTTGTATAGGTATAGGTACAACATGTAATGTAATAATATACCTATATAACAAGTGACCGTAGTCCGTATAGTTATTATAAAGTGTTACGTAATATGAGATACTTTTTAGCTTCGAATAGAAATGTGTTCGGTGTAAAATGAAAGTTAATATCCGGACTATCTGTAGAGAAGTGGCTACATACATCTGCACTCGGTTTTCAGAAGCTTTATGGTGATTGCGAAATCTATTTTAACATACCTACCTATTATACGGTTATAAATACTTAAAATATTATTATGTTGACCACCACACGCCAACGATCGTGTGTATGTAACACTCTCTGGTCGTGGAAATACCTATGTACCTATACTTGTATTATTATTAATTTGGTATCTGTCTTGACTCTTGAGTTACAATCGAATGTATGCTGTTTTTGTTGTCTTCCAAATACCGTATGACTTTCGTCTCATTTAAATATATAATAATTTCGCAAGATTTTTTTGTATTGATATAGGTGTATAAATGTATAATAGTCTGTGATGAAAACAATTTAATCATGGTCGTCATTGTCTGTAATAATAATATTGTGATAACTGAATAACTGATAGATTTAAACGAAATCAAGACTTGTTTTGTGTGTATTCGGTATAATAGGTTTGCGGGTACAGCTCGTGAATCGGTGGCACAACATAAAAATAATAAATAAAACGAATAAAGATCATATAATACTACATATATGTGTAGACAGGACCTATACGTATATGCTTATGCTAAATTGCTACATATGTGTTATTGTTAATACTTAATTCTAAGTACATACAAATTTAAACGTTGAACGTTTGAATGTGTTTTGTTACACGCTCAGACTTGAAATATAATGATATCACCTATAATAGTACCTACGGGCGTATGCATTTTCTTGCGTCATAAAAAAATACGACAAATTTAAAGACTGTCCTTAGTTGTAAAAGAAAGAAACTAGAACGCACTATTCACCAATATTATAAAAAAAAAAATAAAAAAATATTTGTTACTGTAGCATAATATGAGCAGAGTATATCCATAGGCGGAGATTTGATTGAATTTTAGGTGGACTTTGAAAAATGTTCGATCATTTTGTTGGGTGCTTTCAATATTTTTGGTTAGTTATACATTATTTTTTGGTACACGTATAATATAACAAAATCACTTAAAATATAATCAAAATAGGAAGTATATAATGTCGTATATTATAGTCGTATACTCGTATCTAAATTTAAATTATGTTAGTTTTGAGTTTTGGATAACTTATAACTTTAAAAGTAAGAGCACTTTCAGTGGTTTTCATATTTTACTCTTATAATAAAAAATTGTCAAGGATTCGAAGGTTCAAGTTGTGATTGTTAAAATTTTCTTATTATAGCCTATAGGTCAATATTAGTTTAAGGTTGATCACGAATGATCTATAAAACCTTAAACGGCTTAAGGCCTTAAACTAAAATATAAATTAATAATTTTACTTTACAGAACAATATTTCACTATGTTACAAATATTGTAATAGTATCAAATGTGAGTATGTATGGGTATTGGGTAACATATATATCATAATAGAATGCTGAGTGAGTGACATGTGGCATAATTAAAAGAAGACACAATCTGAATGTATAATGTGTATAGCTTCTAAACTATATTAACAAGTTAAAATTACAATGTAATACTCGTATATACTATAAAGGTATACATTTACAAATTACAAATGATGATTATGAAAATAATACAGACAACGTTCTATAATTTCAAGGTACTTACTGAATTTATTTCAGATATCCTTTTGAATTTTCAAAATAAATTACATATTTTGACAACTATATAATGCAACATGACTATAGGTATTATAATAAGTTACATTTTACATTCAGAGGTTGGAACCAAAATTTACGAATATATAAATAAATATTGATACCGATTATTATACTGAACTACATGTACCGGAATTGGAACCAAAATCTTATTAATTATTATAATATCAATTACCTATCATTGATTGATATTATAATTGTTGAATACTCTTTTTTGACATAATAAACTCGTTATAATTTATATATGATATCATTTATCAGTTATCACCCATCAGTTATCACTTATCGTTCTCCATTATATTGACTTTAATTAAATTTTTTTTTTTTGATCCAAAACAAGAATATATTATTTTGAACGATGGATACAAGGAATACAACATACGAGATTCTATATATAAAGAATTTAAGAATCTGCTATTTTTATCAGCGTCTGAAGTTAGAATTTCGATAAAATTCATCAAAACCACAACAATTTTCAAGTTATTTTTAGTTTGAAACTATAGGTATAGTAAATAATAACAATTTTTTTCTTTTATGTCTAAGATTTGGCAATTTAATACAAGGAGCCTTAATATAAATGTTTTTACCTTAGTTTACAGGAAAGTCAAATTAATTTTTTATGAGCGTTTGAAGTTCAAATTTATACATTATCCAATGTAACCCTGTAAATCCTGTTTTGCTCTGTAAATTAAAGATTTATTTATGTAGGTACCTATTCGTCATAAAGACGAAAGACATGCGTGAACAAAGTAGACAAGAAGACAACAAAGTATATAATATAAATTTATTAAAATATAATCATTCAACTTATAACAGTGTACAAGTTCGAACTTCTAGTCCAACTTATATGGGACCACGCGGGTTGTCAGATTGAAAGAGATTGTCAAATTATTGAGATTTGAGGGTTTGACAGGAAAGTTTCTCGCCAGTCTGAGTGAGCAAACGAATTCCAAATCGTTGTTTGATCTGGTTAACTATTTCCTATATGTATTATATTATGTACCTAGGTATCCATAATATACAAATCTTTTCAAAGCGTGTTTCACAAAACGCATATATTATATATACAGCTGTAACTAAATTTGGTGTAAGTAATTATGTTTATTGAAAAACCTTGGTCATACAACATGGAATCCCCACCAAAAACCTTTGTTCGTCGATTATAATATCATTATTCCAAGATTTCCAATTAAATGACCCACTATTGTCGCTGATAGTTTTATGTAGGTATACCTAATAAAAAAACCAAATATTTTCGTTTTGCATATATTATAGTAAGTAAGGTAAAAACTATCATAATATTTGACTTTTTTTCACTGGTCTACATAATATTATCATAATTATTTACATTGATGACATATTATATACATCATTCATAGTTCTACTTATGTCACTATTAGGTATATATAGGACAGCTGATGTTTATAATTAAATTAATAAGTAATTATATACATATAAATCATTTCAGTAACATGTCAAGGTTATTGCACATATTTAGCAGAGATGGGAAATTATATTTTTCCTTTTTAAGATCGTAATTGGAGCGAAACGAGCTGATGGCATCTCAGAGATTAGTTTTTGTCTTGTGACTACACGGTATAAACTTTTTTTTATGTTTTACGGTCAATTTTAATAATTTCAAATTTCAAAAAAAAATGATTTAAAAGGTTTGTTATACAGACTTATATTATTT